CTCATTATGCAAGTTATATAATGTTTTTAGTCATCTGGGTATATCTATATATATATATATGTGAAATTAACTGAGAGGTAGTGTTATTGTGCATGTGTAGTTTATGGGTATAATGAATCAATTAAGTATATGTTAATTTTTTTTTTCATGCATACAAGAAAGAAATTAATCAATAATCAAATAATGAATATGATTAAGTCATAAAAAAGTGATTAAGAAAAAAGAAAAAATGAAATGATTGAACAGGGAATTTTGGGGCCTACGCATGCGGGTCAGCGTACAGAAACACATGCATGCTCACATGGGCCTGCACATGAAAAGCTTTAATTATCTTCTATTCACGACAACATAAGCTACTGTTTCCTTTAGTTACTTCCACCTCATCCACAATGTCCTTAGCCAGTTCATTCATGTTATTTTACTAATTTCTTCTGATATTTTTATAGAATAATATGCTAGAGATTTACTGTTAGAATTTTGATTAATCTTCTCTTTATTAGAAAAATAATAATTTTGCACGAATTTTAGCAGATTTATGCATGATTATATTTAAACTTTCAATTTGGTGAACTTATCGCTAAAAGAAAATATTGGAAATATAAATCTTTAACTTATTACTTCATATTAACTTAAGTTTTTTGAAATAATCGGTTCAATTTATTATTGAAAATAATATCTGCAATATAATATTAGAATTAATTGGTGTCTACAAAAATTCCTTATTGCTAAATATTAATTAATTTCGATGTTACTAAGTAGAACTTGTTATAAGATTTTAAACAGTATATTGAACTAATAAGTCAAAAAGCTTAAGATCTACAATCAAAATTTAAAAGTCTAGACATCTAAATTTAATACATCTTAAATAATATATAAATAGAAGAATTAGAAAAAATTGGTACAATTTATTAAGATAATTTTTATATGCATGTAATTTAGATGTTTAATAATCCAATAAATAAGAAGTCTAAACAGCTAATACATGATTTTTAAAATTGGTTTTTTAATAATGTTGTCACAAATGATTGGACATTAAAGAGAATCCTAGGTGCAAATTTTGCCAAAACATCTGGCTGGATCAGTCGGAATAAAACAGAAATCGAATATGGTAGTTAATTAATTATTAAATAAATAAACACTTATAGATATATAAACATGTGCATCTATAATAGTAATGAAAATAACTTAAAGCAATCCTTACATAATGAAACTGAAAATTATATAGTGTGCGAAATAAAATGATAAAGAAGTGATATTAATTAGATATACATGAAATATTGTTGGGAAATTAATATGGGTATATACGGGTCCAGATACATATATATGTCTATATATGTGTGTGTGTGTGTGTGTGTGTGTGTGTATAAATAAAAAAAGGGGAGAAAAGCAAGGGCAATTTTGGTAGCAGAAAGTAGTATAAATAGAGGGGTGTGTTTGTTTGGTTATATAACTAAGTAGTCAGGTTTTTGATCGGGAGTGAAAAGAGAAAAATGGTTTCAAGAGTGGAAACTATGAAGAAGAAGCAACAAGGTGGTGATCAAGAAAATAATAATTACAGTAATCATAAAGGGGGAGAAGGTGGATATCATCAGCAGCAGTTGCAGAAGCAGATGCAATGCAACAAAGCAAAAGTCTGCAAGTTCAAGAGGAGCAGCTCTAACCTTGAAGAAGATGGTGCTTCTTCTGCAATTCTCTTCCTTGCTTGCATTGCCTGCACTCCCTCTTTTTAATGTCGCGTTATTACTATTATTATTTCAAATTAACTTTATCTCTTTTCTCCTTCTCTCTCTCTCTCTCTCTCTCTCTCTCTAAATATATACATACCTTTTTTGTTTTTGTAACTTTGTATCAGTTCAAGTATAATTTAGTAAATTCTTGCTACATATTAATTTCTTCTTATTCTAGTATATATATATATATATATTATATTTGTGGTAGATTTTTTATGATTATGTTTTTACTCATTGTCTTCTTCTTAATTGGGATAAAATATAGTTGGTAAAAAACTTACACCGGTCAGTTAAACTCCCCAACAAAACAGAGAAATCTTTTCACCTGGCGTGCACATAAATGTTCATTCTACCAATGAAAACTTTTACTTGAGGATTATATTTTTCTTATATTATATTCTCAAGAGTTTTCACATTATTATATTATAAAAAATTACAAATTTATTAATTACGTTGGAATATTTTAAAAAGAGATTGAAAATGAATACACGATACTTGGTGGAGCCGCCGAAGTGCTCGGTATAAACTAATTGAGGCTTGAAATGAGGAAGAATGGATGGATGATTTTACTTGTAAGAGCAAGGCTGGGAAATGAATACAGGACACGTCGCGTGGCAGAGACGTTGACGCAGGAGGCCACACGGAAGGGAGTCACTTGGGCGATTTGCGTGCGCGCGGTCGAACGGCTGAGATCCGTTCCAGCGCGCACGGACGGCCCAGATCAAAAGCGCGTATGGACGGCCCAGATTGCACGCGTACGGACGACCCAGATTGAATCGCGCACGGACGGCCCAGATTGCATCGCAATGAATAGTCCATATTCATTTCCGATTTAATCGCGATCGGACGATCCAGATTAAATCGTGATGGACGGCTCAGATTAAAAGCAAAAGGTTATAAATAATATCATCCACATCCAAACCCTAACCCTAGCCGCCAGAGCCCTTGCCGGAGAAGATAGCCCAGCCACCAGAGAACCGACTACCACCACCCGCCGCCGCATCAAAGCACTTTCCGGCCGCCAAACGAGGTAAAAATTCTCTCATTGGCTTAGAATTTGATTCTAAACCCACCTGTGGCCAAATCGGAGCCAAAACACAGACCAATTGGCCGAAAAATGTCGTCGAAGCCCAGGCCGCCGCGAATTTTTTCGATTTTTACCTCTGATGAAGCCCTTCCTGATTCCCGTTCGATATAATTTTTCCACTATTGTGACCACCGTTCCTTTCTCTACAGGTTGATCGGAGCAAAACACCAAATCGCGACTCGAGCCGGAAGAGCCACCGCACCGAAGAGCCCCGCCACTGGTAAGTTTTGGTTTTCGGTATTTTTTCGGCCTACTGAGGGCCCTAGGAGTGTTTTCTCACAGGAACCAATACAAGTTTGGTCGAATACGGCCGAAAACGGCCGGAAACGACCAACCCGAGACGGATCGCCCCTGCAAGCGGCGGCGCCGTTGCCGGAGCACGGCGTAGCTGCCGTGCCGGAATTCTAAAATTGGCCGAATAGGCCTTGGGTCTTATTTTTGAGTTATTTGGGATATGTGTAGGTACTGTAAGCACGTTTCAGTTCCCGAAAAAAAAATTCGAGGAACCCAAGGACTGCCCGTAGGCGCAGTGAAAATCCTATTTTCGGCTTCGAATCAAGTAAGGACCCCTCACCTTATTTCCTATCACGGGATTAAAGTTTAATAAATGATAAAACTGTATTTTATGAATTAAGTAGATATACATAATTATTACGGTTGCTAATGGAGCCCCGAATCGGACATATTCTTCTATTAGTTCCTGTTTGATTTATTTTATAGTTTAAATATAGTATAATATCTGAATTATTTATTCTATGATTTTGAATGCATGAATCACTGTTTACTTCATTACATCTTGATTTTGTGAACCCGATGATATGTTTGCCTTGTTGGATGCTCGTTACTTGTTTAAGTATTCATGATTATGTGAGAAATAGAAAACTAAGGAAAAATTGAAAAGGTATGTGAATTGATAAATGGATAAGTTGACAGCCTGACTAGATATCCTGAGAGATGGTGGACGAACCGAGTCTATAGGGAACCCTACCGGAAATGTTGTCTCATACCGAACGGAGTATGGAGACTTTAAATATTTTAGCGCTCATACCGGACAGGGTATGGGGACGACCCACTTCACCCTCTTGACTGACGAGGTGTTGAGTTTATTGTTTGGCGCCATACCAGACGGGGTATGGGGACGATCCTAGAATCAAGTTGGTAAAGTTAATGTTCACGTGTAGCGGGACCTCTATGTATCCCC